TAGTTTAGGGGTCGAGGCAGAGGGTAGAGCATCCCAGGATATGGAGTATGCAGAGCGGTTCACAGTGCACAGCAACGCCCTCAGGATCATGTAGCATGTGCACACAGAGAAAGCACACAGCAGGTCAGCAACTCCTGTAACACAGCGACACCCCACTCGACTACATGGGACACAGCAGAACACACATAGAAACGGTACACGCAGCACGCAGCCGCAAATGCAGACGACCGCAGCACATAGGGCACAGCAGCCTCCGAGGGCCGGGATGGGATTTCAGAGGATGAGGGTGAAGGGAGGGGGGTAGGGGGGGGGGGAGCGAGGATACCTGCCTCCACGTACGCCTGAGAGTCCGTCCAGCCAAAACCTGTCCAGTCGCATTTTTCTTCATCTTAACTCCTTGCATCAGGGGGGAGGGAGGGAGGGAGGAGGGAGGCAGGGAGGCAGGAAGGGAGGGAGGGTGGTGGTGGTGGGGGTGGAGGAGGGAGGGAGAGGAAGTGAGTCTAGAAAAAGGGATGGGGGGGAGGGAGTGGAGGGGGGGGGGTAGAGGGTCGAGGAGAAGGGGAAGTCCCTGTCCCCCCCTTGGCTGTTTTTGTTATTGTTTGATCGGCGGAGATTATGCGATATTCTCCCCCCCCCCCTTTTTTTTTTTTTGCGTTGTCGTCTGTTCCTTTTGGCGAGGTGTCGTCACTCGGGGAGGAAGGTCGTCGGCAATTCGTCCTTCCGATTGGGGTTGTGTTCGGCCTTTCTTATTAAAGGGGAAATATGTGGTCGTCGGGGGGGGGGTGAGGGGAGAAGAGCAAGGGGGGGAAGGGGACAGGGGGGAGGAGGGGTGGCGGGATGGCGGAGGGAGGGGGTAAGGGGAGAAGAGCAGGGGGGGGGAAGGGGGACCGGGGGAGGGAGGGTGGCGGGATGGCGGAGGGAGGGGGGTGAGGGGTGAGGGGGGGGTAAAGTAGCTTCGAGGAATCCCGCCGGAACGATTCTTTGCCCTTTTTCGTCGGGGGTTTAAAGGGTTGGGGGGACACGGCGGGCGCTGTCGGGAGGCTGAAGTGGAAGGAAGAGGTCCGCGTTTGTGGGAAGTGGGATGGACTGTGGGAGCGGTGGAGGAGGTTTAGAGACTGAAGTACGTACAGACAGACAGACAGACACACAGACACACACACACAGACAGACACACACACACAGACAGACAGATACACACACACACACAGACAGACAGATACACACACACACACACCACACACACACCACACACACACACACACACACACACACACACACACACACACACACACACACACACACACACACACACACACACACACACACACACACACACACACACACACACACACACACACACACACACCACACACCACACACCACAAAGAGACAGACAGACAGAAATAGAGACAGAGACAAAGACAGAGAGAGAAAACGCGAGAGCCGAGAAGAGAAAGCGGCAGCAAACAGCAAGCAGCAACGAAAAGGAATTAATACGATCTGCTTCCGCGATCACCCACTCGCTGTCTTATAAGCGGCGCTGAACGAATGCGACGAAGCAGAAATAAATGTGACGCGCTCCAATACGTCAAGGAAAGTGAGTGGGGGGGAGGGGGGGGGGGGGCAGGAGGGGGCGAGGAGGAGAGGGGGGGGGGCGAGGAGGGACCGGGAGAGGAGGAGGCCAGGAGGGGGAAGGCGGCGAGGAGGGACCAGGAGGGGGTGAGTGGGGAAGAGGGGACCAGGAGGGTAGCAGGAGGGTGAGGGACCAGGAGGGGGCGAGGGGCGGTGAGGGGAAGCGGAAAGCAGGTGCATATACATAGGTACGTGTGGCTGAGAAGAAGGGGAAGGGAGGGAAGGAAAGGGAGGGAGGAAGGGAAAGATTGAGAGAAAGGGAAAGGGGTTGAATGTGGAGGTAAAGAGAACGGGGAGAGGAGATAAGGGGAGAGAGAGGGATGTTTGGTAGGAGAAGGGAAGCGAGGAGGGGAAAGGGGAATTAAGAGTGATCGTAGGCAGGAGAGGGGAAGGGGAGAGAGAGGGTAGCAGGGCAGGGAGGAAGGGAGAGAGGAGGAAAAAGGGTAAGAATAATACGAAGGATCAGTCCGTGGGGGAGGGGGGGACGCAGTGGGGGAGAGGGAAAGGGAGGAAGCGGGACGTAAAGGAATGGAATAGAGGAAGGAGAGTGGGGGAGGGAAGGGGGAGGGGGGGAGGGCAGGGCGGAGGTTCATTCTGCTTGACTAACGCACCTCGTCGTGATATGTAGAGCCCGTTCAGAATTTTACCTGTATGTTAGGATTGTGGCGTTGCCTGCCTCCCCGGTGTGTGCGTGTGCGTGCGTGTGTGCGGATGTATATGCGCATGTGTGTTTTTTTGTTTTTGTTTTTTTGTTTTATTACATTTTATGCGTGTCGACTGTATTGGGGTACGTTTACGAGGGCTTTTTATTTTTGTATGGACTGACGTTGACAAATGTCAGGGTGTCCCAACAGCTTTACCGAGGGTT